TCATACTTTCAGTCGTTGTTGGAGCTAAGAAAAGACAGCAATTAAGGTTCTCAGTAAGCAAAGTTTATTAGCACAATTTGACAGATTTCGTAGCAGGATGATTGATCATGTCTTACTTTTCGTAGTTATCTGAGCCGTCGTACTCTCTGTGTTCATACTTTCAGTCGTTGTTAAAGCTAGGAAAAGACAGCAATTAAGGTTCTCAGTAAGCAAAGTTCATTAGCACAATTTTACAGATTTCGTAGCAAGATGATTGATCATGTCTTACTTTTCGTAGTTATCTGAGCCGTCGTACTCTCTGTATTCATACTTTCAGTTGTTAATGGAACTATAAGTTAAAAATGTCGAGCTTTAAAATCACGGCTACAATTGCTACATTAGAGCCGCTCTGGAACTGACTAGGGTAGCTAACTCTGAAAATCCCAATAACTGAGTTATTTTTTGTACCTTTCGTGCTAATGATAATACTCAACGGAAGTATAACAAGAACGAGTATGTTACTGACCTGCTACAGTTGTCGATAACTTCGTAGTTGCTGCAGTCGTGGTTTCAGCTAGAATAGTCAGAGAAAAAATGACCTTTGGTACTTGTCAATACAGTGTCACAGGGGATCCTATCTAGGCATTTTTGAAGCCATTTTGAATAAATGTTTTGAAGTACTGAAAAGAGTTTTATGTTTTATGGTTTTTCATGATTGTTGAATAGTGGTTAAAGTTTCTTACCTACGCATGCTTTTCCGTCACCGGAGTATCCGGGAGGGCAGGAACCACAAGTAATATTACCGTTGGTATCGGTACATTGCACTCCGGTATAGCAGGAATGATTACTACAACGGATCTCTTGCTGATCACAGTGAGTCCCTTTAAAGCCAACATTACAGCGACATGTGTAGTTGTTATCCCCGTCAACGCACGTACCTTAGTTAACGATAATATTGGAACTAGATTCAGTACATAATTCAGACAATGACGATGACGATGACGATGACGATGACGATGACGATGACGATGACGATGACGATGACGATGACGATGACGATGACGATTACGATGACGATGACGATCATAATCATAATAGTAATCTTAATCGTAATCGTAATCGTAATCGTAATCGTAATCGTAATCGTAATCGTAATCGTAATCGTAATCGTAATCTTAATCATAATAGTAATCTTAATCATAATAGTAATCGTAATCGTAATCGTAATCGTAATCGTAATCATAATAGTAATCGTAATCGTAATCGTAATCGTAATCGTAATCGTAATCGTAATCGTAATCGTAATCGTAATCGTAATGATGATAATAATAATAATAATAATAGCTT